AAGCAGCAGGGATGACCGCAGCCTGGAGAGGATTGTCAGGAAAAGGCCATTCAAAAGTGTTGGGGACTTTCACAAGGAATGGACTGAGGCTGGAGTCAGTGCATCAAGAGCCACCACACACAGACGGATCCTGGACATGGGCTTCAAATGTCATATTCATCTTGTCAAGCCGCTCCTGAACAACAAACAACATCAGAAGCATCTTACCTGGGCTAAAGAAAAACAGACCTGGTCTGTTGCTCAGTGGTCCAAAGTCCTCTTTTCTGATGAGAGCAACTTTTGCATCTCATTTGGAAACCAAGGACCCCGAGTATGGAGGAAGAATGGAGAGGCACAAGGACCCAGAGTATGGAGGAAGAATGGAGAGGCACAAGGACCCAGAGTATGGAGGAAGAATGGAGAGGCCCAAGGACCCAGAGTATGGAGGAAGAATGGAGAGGCCCAAGGACCCCGAGTATGGAGGAAGAATGGAGAGGCCCAAGGACCCCGAGTATGGAGAAAGAATGGAGAGGCCCAAGGACCCCGAGTATGGAGGAAGAATGGAGAGGCCCAAGGACCCCGAGTATGGAGGAAGAATGGAGAGGCCCAAGGACCCCGAGTATGGAGGAAGAATGGAGAGGCCCAAGGACCCCGAGTATGGAGGAAGAGTGGAGAGGCCCAAGGACCCCGAGTATGGAGGAAGAATGGAGAGGCCCAAGGACCCCGAGTATGGAGGAAGAATGGAGAGGCCCAAGGACCCCGAGTATGGAGGAAGAATGGAGAGGCCCAAGGACCCCGAGTATGGAGGAAGAATGGAGAGGCCCAAGGACCCCGAGTATGGAGAAAGAATGGAGAGGCCCAAGGACCCCGAGTATGGAGGAAGAATGGAGAGGCCCAAGGACCCCGAGTATGGAGGAAGAATGCAGACGCCCAAGGACCCCGAGTATGGAGGAAGAATGGAGAGGCACACACTGCAAGATGCTTGAAGTCCAGTGTGAAGTTTCCACAGTCTGTGTTGATTTAAGGAGCCATGTCATCTGCTGGTGTTGGTCCACTGTGCTTCATTAAGTCCACGGTCAACGCAGCCGTCTACCAGGAGATTTTGGAGCACTTCATGCTTCCTTCCACAGACGAGCGTTATGGGGATGCCGACTTCATTTTCTAGCAGGACTTGGCACCTGCCCACACTGCCAAAAGCACCAAAACCTGGTTTCTTCCACACTTTTCACTTCCACATAACTTTCTATTAATGTGCTTTGATACAGCACTTTGGGAACATCCAACTTCTTTTGCAATTCCCTTTTGAGGCTTTCCCTCCTTATGGAGGGTGTCAATGATGGTTTTCTGCACAACTGTCAGGTCAGCAGTCTTTCCCATGATTGTGATTCCTACTGATCCAGACTGAGAGACCATTTAAAGGCTCAGGAACCCTTTGCAGGTGTTATGGCTTAATTATCTGATTAGAGTGGGACACTTTGAGCCGAAAATATTGCACCTTTTCACAATATTCTCATTTTCTGAGATTGTGGATTTGGGGTTTTCATGAGCTGTAAGCCATAATCATCACAATGATGACAAATCACGGCTTGAATTGTCTTGCTTTGCATGTAATGAGTCTATCTCATATATTAGTTTCACCTTTTAAGTTGCTGCACTGAAATAAATGAACTTTTGCACCATATTCTAATTTTTCGAGTTTCACCTGTACACTAGCAGATTTTTGAACAAACATTTCAATCCTGCTTCTTCCAATTTACTGGTCACTGTGGCAGAAAACAGACATTGATTTGACCCCCACTAACAATTCGGAGATGGAACGGATGGACAAATTGCCCTGAAGTAAAAGTTTTTGAACAAAAGTCTTCTAGTGTATGGCCAGCTTTAGGCTTCCCTTACACCCAGTATTTGTCACAAAGGCGGAATAATTCTTTAAAGCTGAAATATGATTCTTATATTTTGCCTACCCTTGTTCCTCATTTCCTCCCCCTTATCTACATGTCAGTGCAATTATTAAATAAAATCTTTTTCTGTTTTCATTATATACCTTATTTAGGACCTGGTGTCATCATCACTTGGTCTTTGTGCCTTTCTATGCAATGCAGACAGATCATGGCTGATAAGAGGGGCAAGCAGGGTGCTGTATATAGTTTCCAGAAAACACAAAGCTTATGCATTGCCCACATGTGATACTGAGCCTCTGCGATTAAAAGAACTGAAATCTAATGAAAGGGTTGGGCCAGGGACAGTCAGGCTGCGTAGGAAAGTTTAGATGATGCTAGAAGTCCTCCAGCCAAGAAATGAGGCAGGCTCTATATGTCTCTATACAGCTTCTAGTGCACATTGTGAGAAGTTCACAGTGTGCAGTGAAATCAGAGTAAGCATTTAGGTCCAGGAGAGGAGCCACTACAACTGAAGGGAGGGCTGGAGGTCAGATTTAGGCTCCCAACTCCACCCACTTACCATGGCTGCCATGAGACTGACTCAGTTAGTTTACAGCATGGAAGATGCATCAAGATGGCAGTGACAGATTTAAAAATGTTATGATCAAGATCTCATTACTGAAAGAGGAACAAGAAGCCAAGGGGCGACTCAGCTCACCAGTACTCAGCCTCTAAATCAGCCATTGTCAATCAGAGCTCCTCCAGAGGACGCTAGGTGTTCCTTGAGCTGTCGCTGATTGACCACCTGTTTGGTGACTGCACAAGTCTGGGGCCAGTGCCACTTGGTAGAGTCAGCAGCATTTTGTCTGTAAGGATGGCATTCTGAACACAACTGTTAGAAGCATTCTTTCCACTGATCGCCAATGTAAGGAACATTCTTCCCACTGATCACCAATGTAAGGGACATTCTTCCCACTGATCACCAATGTAAGGGGACATTCTTCCCACTGATCACCAATGTAAGGGACATTCTTCCCACTGATCACCAATGTAAGGGACATTCTTCCCACTGATCACCAATGTAAGGAGCATTCTTCCCACTGATCACCAATGTAAGGAACATTCTTCCCACTGATCACCAATGTAAAGGACATTCTACCCACTGATCACCAATGTAAGGAACATTCTTCCCACTGATCACCAATGTAAGGGACATTCTTCCCACTGATCACCAATGTAAGGGACATTCTTCCCACTGACCACCAATGTAAGGAGCATTCTTCCACTGATCACCAATGTAAGGAACATTCTTCCCACTGATCACCAATGTAAGGGACATTCTACCCACTGATCACCAATGTAAGGAGCATTCTTCCCACTGATCACCAATGTAAGGAACATTCTTCCCACTGATCACCAATGTAAGGGACATTCTTCCCACTGATCACAATGTAAGGACATTCTTCCCACTGATCACCAATGTAAGGGCATTCTTCCCACTGATCATCACCAATGTAAGGAACATTCTTCCCACTGATCACCAATGTAAAGGACATTCTACCCACTGATCACCAATGTAAGGAACATTCTTCCCACTGATCACCAATGTAAGGGACATTCTACCCACTGATCACCAATGTAAGGAGCATTCTTCCCACTGATCACCAATGTAAGGGAACATTCTTCCCACTGATCACCAATGTAAAGGACATTCTACCCACTGATCACCAATGTAAGGAACATTCTTCCCACTGATCACCAATGTAAGGACATTCTTCCCACTGATCACCAATGTAAGGGACATTCTTCCCACTGATCACCAATGTAAGGAGCATTCTTCCCACTGATCACCAATGTGTAAGGGACATCTTCCCACTGATCACCAATGTAAGGGCATCCCACTGATCACCAATGTAAAGGACATTCTTCCCACTGATCACCAATGTAAGGGACATTCTTCCCACTGATCACCAATGTAAGGGACATTCTTCCCACTGATCACCAATGTAAGGGACATTCTTCCCACTGATCACCAATGTAAGGGACATTCTTCCCACTGATCGCCAATGTAAGGGACATTCTTCCCACTGATCACCAATGTAAGGGACATTCTTCCCACTGATCGCCAATGTAAGGGACATTCTTCCCACTGATCGCCAATGTAAGGGACATTCTTCCCACTGATCGCCAATGTAAGGGACATTCTTCCCACTGACCGCCAATGTAAGGGACATTCTTCCCACTGATCGCCAATGTAAGGGACATTCTTCCCACTGATCTCCAATGTAAGGGACATTCTTCCCACTGACCACCAATGTAAGGGCATTATTCCCACTAATCGCCAATGTACGGGACATTCTTCCCACTGACCACCAATGTAAGGGACATTCTTCCCACTGATCGCCAATGTACGGGACATTCTTCCCATTGATCACCAATGTAAGGGACATTCTTCCCACTGATCGCCAATGTAGGGACATTCTTCCCACTGACCACCAATGTAAGGGCATTCTTCCCACTGATTGCCAATGTAAAGGACATTCTTCCCATTGATCACCAATGTAAGGATGATTCTTCCCACTGACCACCAATGTAAGGAGCATTCTTCCCACTGACCACCAATGTAAAGGGACATTCTTCCCACCGACTGCCACCAAGTAGGGCATTCTTCCCACTGATCACCAATGTAAGGGGCATGCTTGCCACTGACCAAAAATGTGAGGACATTCTTCCCACTGACTACCAATGTAAGGACATTCTTCCCATTGATCACCAATGTAAGGGCATTCTTCCCACTGATCGCCAATGTAAGGACATTCTTCCCACTGACCACCAATGTAAGGAGCATTCTTCCCACTGACCACCAATGTAAGGAGCATTTTTCCCACTGATTGCCAATGTAAGGACATTCTTCCCATTGATCACCAATGTAAGGATGATTCTTCTCACTGACCACCAATGTAAGGAGCATTCTTCCCACTGACCACCAATGTAAGGAGTATTCTTCCCACTGACTGCCAAAGTAAGGAGCATTCTTCCCACTGATCACCATGTAAGGGCATGCTTGCCACTGACCACCAATGTAAGGAGCATTCTGCCCACTGACAACCAATGTAAGGGACATTCTTCCAACCGACCACTAATGTAAGGAGCATTCTTCCCATTGACCACCAATGTAAGGGGCATCTTCCTCACTGACCACCAATGTAAGCGTTCATTCTTCCCATTTATCACCCAATGTAAGGAGCATTCTTCCACTGACCACCAATGTAAGGAACATTTCTTCTCGCCTGACCATCAATATAAGAAGCATTCTTCCCACTGACCAACCAATGTAAGGACATTCTTCTCGCTGACCATCAATATAAGAAGCATTCTTCCCACTGACCACCAATTTAAGGACATTCTTCCCACTGACCACCAATGTAAGGGACATTCTTCTCCGCTAACCATCAATGTAAGGAGCATTCTTCCCACTGATCACCAATGTAAGGGACATTCTTCCCACTGATCACCAATGTAAGGGACATTCTTCCCACTGATCATCAATGTAAGGGACATTCTCCCACTGACAACCAATGTAAGGGACATTCTTCCCACTGACCACCAATGTAAGGAACATTCTTCCCACTGATCACCAATGTAAGGACATTCTTCCCACTGACCACCAATGTAAGGGACCCCCCCATTTTTCCCACTGATCTCCAATGTAAGGGACATTCTTCCCACTGACCACCAATGTAAGGGACATTCTTCCCACTGACCACCATATGTAAGGGACATTCTTCTCGCTAAACATCAATATAAGAAGCATTTCTTCCCACTGATCACCAATGTAAGGGACATTCTTCCCACTGATCACCAATGTAAGGGACATTCTTCCCACTGATCACCAATGTAAGGGACATTCTTCCCACTGATCACCAATGTAAGGGACATTCTTCCCACTGACCACCAATGTAAGGGACATTCTTCCCACTGACCCCCAATGTAAGAGACATTCTTCCCACTGATCCCAATGTATGGGACATTCTTCCCACTGATCACCAATGTAAGGGACATTCTTCCCACTGACCACCAATGTAAGGGACATTCTTCCCACTGACCACCAATGTAAGGGACATTCTTCCCACTGATCAGCATCATGTAAGGGACATTCTTCCCACTGATCACCAATGTAAGGGACATTCTTCCCACCGATCACCAATGTAAGGAGCATTCTTCCCACTGACCACCAATGTAAGGGACATTCTTCCCTCTGACCACCAATGTAAGGGACATTCTTCCCACTGACCACCAATGTAAGGACATTATTCCCACTGACCACCAATGTAAGGGAAATTCTTTCCACTGACCACCAATGTAAGGAGACATTATTCCCACTGACCACCAATGTAAGAGACATTCTTCCCACTGATCACCAATGTAAGGAGACATTCTTCCCACTGATCCCCAATGTAAGGGACATTCTCTTCCCACTGACCACCAATATAAGGGGGAATTCTTCCCACTGACCCCCAAGGTAAGGGAAATTCTTCCCACTGATCCACCCCCAATGTAAGGGACATTCTCCCCCTGGCCACCAATGTAAGGAGCATTCTTCCCACTGATCACCAATATAAGGGACATTCTTCCCACTGATCACCAATGTAAGGGACATTCTTCCCACTGATCACCAATGTAAGGGACATTCTTCCCACTGATCACCAATGTAAGGGACATTCTTCCCACTGACACCAATGTAAGGGACATTCTTCCCACTGATCACCAATGTAAGGAACATTCTTCCCACTGATCACCAATGTAAGGGACATTCTTCCCCACTGACCACCAATGTAAGGGACATTCTTCCCACTGACCCACCAATGTAAGGGACATTCTTTCTCGCTGACCATCAATATGCCATTGTGTAAATTCCTAAATGATCTCTTGGTGGGTATCATCGTGACTGCGTTTTCAGCCCTGATATGGAGTCTTGTGAAGATGCTTCATTTGGCACAGACCATCTGTTGGTACGTGTGCCAGTCTCTGGCTCTACTGTCTGAAAAAAAGAATATTGTATAAAAATATTAGATGAAGGAACAGATGGTGGAGATGTTGGATCCACAAACCGTACTCAGAGGATCTCCCAACCCGCCAGACAGATGTGACGTCTGACATGTTGGGGCTGCTTTACCAAACGTGGAGCTGTTGTCCCTAGCTGATAATAACAGGGTCTATCATACCGCACACGTACATTGAGGGCATGTGAATGGATAGACGTTGGCATGCTGCGTTCCTTTGTAACAAGTGCTGTGTTGTGCTGTAATACAATTTTTTTAAACTTCTCTAAGCTTTATTTTTAACCACTTCCAGTCCGGACACTTTCACCCCCTTCCTGTCCAGGCCAATTTTCAGCTTTCAGCGCTATCACCTATTGAATGACAATTGCGCGGTCATGCAACACTGTACCTATATGAATTTTTTAGCATTTTTTTTTAGACAGATAAAGATTTATTTTAGTGGTATTTATTCACCACTGGGTTTTTTTTTTTTGCTATTTAAATGAAAAAGTCCAAAAATTTTGAAAAGTGTTTTTCTTATAAAATTTTGCAAATAGTATTTCATCATAAATCTTGGCCAAAATTTATTCCGTTATCTTTTTAGTAAAAAACTAAAATAACCCAAACTAGTTTATAACCAAAATTATAATTTTTTAAACTTTTTTTTTTACCTTTTTTTTATATTATTGTTTTTTTGTTTTTGTATTTATTCACCACTGGGATTTTTTGAAAAAAAGTATTTTTCTTATAAAATTTTGCAAATAATTAGTATTTCATCATAAATCTTGGCCAAAAGTTATTCCGTTATCTTTTTAGTTAAAAAAAATAAGCCAAAATTAGTTTATAATCAAAAATTATAATTTTTAAACATTTTTTTTTCCATTTTTATTATTTTACATACTGTCACCCTAGCAGTACAGTGTCATCATGCTGACAGTGTACTACTTGTGGGGGGTAATGAAGATTTTTGTTTTTTACACTGATTGCTTTTACACCCATAAAGGCTGTAAAAGCAATCACTCCTCCTTCTCTCTAGCTGCATTCTTGCAGCCATTGAGAAATACTGTGTGAGCTGTGATTGGTCTCAGCTTGTCACATGGTACAAGGCTGTTGTGAATAGCCCTGTACCATGTGACCTCTGTGATCGTTCACAGATTTCACACGTATTAAGCAATGATGTCAGAAATTACATCTTGCTTACTACTCTGCATGTGATCACTGATTGGGACCTCGCACAGACGACCTCGCACCGTCCGACAATCGGTGTTCCACTGTGTCCGGAGGACACAGCAGGCACCGGATCGCGGTGCTGCACGCTCTAAGGGAGTGCGCAAAAACAGGGTGCGGGGAGGCCGTTTATAAACGGCCACCCAACCCTGCACTGCCACTGTCCGGCCGTTTATATACAATGGCTGTATGGTAGGTGGTTACCTCAGCAGGCTGTATTGACTCTTGTGTATATGCCTGTTGCAGTGTGCGTATATGCCTTTTTGCATGTCTCACAGAAGAAAGTAGGGGCTGTTGCACTTTTCAGTACAGGAAAGCGGGCATCAGCCCAATGCATTGGTGACAACTGCTGCTACTGAAATACATTGCTTTTCTAATGTATATGCACTGGCATGCATATACTAATACATGTCAGCACATTTGATGTATATAGATCCTTAGGCTAACCTTACACATTACAATCTGGCCATTAGGTAGAACCTCATAATACATAGTTTTGGTAAATCTGAAGTTGATTGTACAAAGATTGTACAGCCAAAGTGTATGGTGACCCTTAGGGCTCATGTACACTGCAGCTGATAAACTCACATTTAGGAGCTTTTCTGTGTTTTTTTTCAGCAGCCCCTGAACTCACCCTAATGTTTTCCTATGTGTCCATTACACATCTTCGTTTACAGGTAGTTGAGTTTACAGTCTTTTTTTGAACACATCAAACTTGTGTTCAGACATCATTTTATCAGCGTCAAATCGCGTTTATAAGCGTTTGAAATTTTTTTTAACTCTTCCAGTTTCCAATGCTGTCCAGAGCCTTTTTTCATCATGAATTTGCATGAAAAGAATTTTCAAGGTGCTCAACTGGACAAAACACTGAACACAGGATGTTCCTACCAAGCTTGTCACACATTGTAATGACCAAGTCACACCTCAGACCGCTCCCACCCTTGGAAACAAAAGATATGTTAATGACCATTCACACCTCAAATTCCTCATGAAGACCCCCAGCCAGGTGACCTTAATGACTCCCTCCACCAGACACCTTTCCCACCCTTGGAAACAAAAGAAATGTTAATGACCATTCACACCTCAAATTCCTCATGAAGACCCCCTGCCAGGTGACCTTAATGACTCCCTCCACCAGACACCTTTCCCACCCTTGGAAACAAAAGAAATGTTAATGAGCAACTCACACCTAAGCTAATCTCAACACATACTGCTGTCTCTGCTTCTACTCTCTGTATTTCTCTGAAACAGTCTGAAATAGTTAATAATTTACCACTTTTCGGTGCATTCTGGGCATTTGGGAGGTTCTCCTGTGCTTATCTTTAAGAAACGCTTCTAAACGCAAACGCACATAAACGTGGTATGCAAATGTGGCTAAACAGACGTTTTTTAACCTACGTTTTCCAGCAGTCAGTTTCCATTGTTCAGAAACATCCCGTGTACATGCGGCCTTAAGAGTTGATTTACTAAAGGCAAATGGACTGTGCACTCTGCAAATGCAATTGCGCTCCTTTTCTCCAGACTTTAGTAAATGTGGTAAAGCTCTCCTGATTTCCATCATCCAATCATGTGCAAGTAAAAATGTTTTTTTTTTCCTTGTAGCTGATTGGGTACTTTTTTACAAAGTAGTTTTACCATATAGACAAAGTGCAACTGCATTTGCAAAGTGCGCAGTCTATTTGCCTTTAGTAAACAAATGCCTGTGTCTTTCAAATGAGGCAGACAATTGTATTGTCCCTATGGCTGTCATACCCACTCTTTCTCCAGGTTTTCCAGGGGTCTCGTCAGATTCAGAGAAGGCCAGATTGGAAGGGATAGTCTTACACTACACACAGATCAGTATTGGCCAGAGATGCAAAAGATTCACTTGTATCAGTATGGCTGTGTTGGGGTTAAGGAGGACCTGTCATGTTTGATATGTCTTATTCATCAGTGAGTTTAATTCAAGTTTTTAAATAATCAAATGTACTTTAACTACAATAGATATTTCTGGGGCTAAGGGGTTAAGTATATTGAAGAGAGGTTTAGTGTTGGGGGTTACAGAGAGAGTTAATGTTGGAGTTTTAGTGCAGATTAGTGTTAGTGTTGCAGGCTGGTAAATGTTGCAGTTGCAGGAAGGGTTACTGGGAGGGTTGATGTTGAAATTACAGGACAGGTAATTGTTGGGGTTACAGGGAGGGTTAGTGTTAGGATTACGGTGAGTTAGTGTTAAGGTTACAGGGGAGTTAGTGTTGAGGTTGCAGGTAGGGATAGTATTGAGGTTACAGGGGGGTTAGTGTTGGGTTACAGAGGGGTTAGTGTTGAGGTTACAGGGAGGGTTAGTGTTGAGGTTACAGGGATGATTAGTGTTGAGGTTACAGGAATGATTAGTATTGAGGTTCCAGGGGATGATTAGTGTTGAGGTTACAGGGAGGGTTAATGTTGAGGTTACAGGGAGGGTTAGTGTTGAGGTTACAGGGAGGATTAGAGTTGAGGTTACAGAGATGGTTAGTGTTGAGGTTACAGGGAGGATTAGGATTGAGGTTACATTGATGGTTAGTTTTGAGATTACTAGGAGGGTTAGTGATAACGTTACAGGGATGATTAGTGTTGAGGTTACAGGGAGGGTTAATTTTGAGGTTACAGGGAGGGTTAGTGTTGAGGTTACAGGAAGGGTTAGTTTTGAGGTTACAGGAGGGTTAGTGTTGAGGTTACAGGAAGGGTTGAGGTTACAGGAAGGGTTAGTGTTGAGGTTACAGAGATGGTTAGTGTTGAGGTTACTGGGAGGATTAGGGTTGAGGTTACAGGTTTGGTTAATGTTGAGGTTACATAGATGGTTAGTGTTGAGGTTAGTGGGAGGATTAAGGTTGAGGTTACAGGGATGGTTAGTGTTGAGGTTACAGGAAGGGTTAGTGTTGAGGTTACAGGAAAGGTTAGTGTTGAGGTTACAGGGAGGATTAGGGTTGAGGTTACAGGAAGGTTAGTGTTGAGGTTACAGAGAGGGTTAGTGTTGAGGTTACTGGGAAGATTAGGGTTGAGATTACAGGGATGATTAGTGTTGAGGTTACAGGGAGGATTAGGGATGAGGTTACAGGAAGGGTTAGTGTTGAGGTTACAGGAAGGGTTAGTGTTGAGGTTACAGGGAAGATTAGGGTTTAGGTTACAGGGATGGTTAGTGTTGAGGTTACAGAAAGGGTTAGTGTTGAGGTTACAGAGATGGTTAATGTTGAGGTTACTGGGAAGATTAGGGTTGAGGTTACAGGGATGGTTAGTGTTGAGGTTACAGGGATGATTAGTGTTGAGGTTACAGGGAGGATTAGGGATGAGGTTACAGGGAGGGTTAGTGTTGAGGTTAGGGAGGGTAGTGTTGAGGTTACAGGGAGGGTTAGTGTTGAGGTTACAGGGAGGGTTAAGTGTTGAGGCTACAGTGAAGGTTAATGTTGAGGTTACAGGGAGGGTTAGTGTTGAGAGGTTACAGGGAGGGATAGTGTTGAGGCTACTGGGAGAGGTGATGTTGAGGTTACAGGAAGGGTTAGGATTGAGATTACTTGAGGGTAAGTATTAGGGTTACAGATAGTTTGAATGTTATAGTATTGGTTTAAATGTGAGGTTTACAGAGAGGGTTAAGGTTGAAGTTACAGGAAGGGTTAGTGTTGTTAATAACGGGGGGTTTAGGGTCGAGGTTACAGGAAGGGTTAGCGTTAAAGTTGCAGGGGAGTTGGTGTTGGGGTTTCAGGGCAAGTAAGTGTCTCAGTTACAGCAGTGGATAGTGTTGGAGTTACAGGGAGGGATAGTTTTGGAGTCACAAGGAGGGTTAGTGTTGGAGTCACAGAAAAAGTTAGTGTTGGAGTTACAGGGAGGGTTAGTGTTGGGGTTACAGGGGAGGGTTAGTGTTGGAGTTACAGGGAGGGTTAGTGTTGGGGTTACAGGGAGGGTTAGTGTTGGGGTTACAGGGGGGGGTTAGTGTTGGAGTTACAGGGAGGGTTAGTGTTGGAGTTACAGGGAGGGTTAGTGTTGGAGTTACAGGGAGGGTTAGTGTTGGGGGTTACAGGGAGGGTTAGTGTTGGAGTTACAGGGAGGGTTATGTTGGGGTTACAGGGAGGGTTAGTGTTGGAGTTACAGGAAGGGGTTAGTGTTGGAGTTACAGGAGGGTTAGTGTTGGAGTTACAGGGAGGGTTAGTGTTGGGATTACAGGGAGGGTTAGTGTTGGGATTACAGGGAGGGTTAGTGTTGGAGTTACAGGGAGGGTTAGTGTTGGAGTTACAGGGAGGGTTAGTGTTGGGTTACAGGGAGGGTTAGTGTTGGGTTACAGGGAGGGTTAGTGTTGGAGTTACAGGGAGGGTTAGTGTTGGGATTACAGGGAGGGTTAGTGTTGGAGTTACAGGGAGGGTTAGTGTTGGAGTTACAGGGAGGGTTAGTGTTGGAGTTACAGGAGGGTTAGTGTTGGGATTACAGGAGGGTTAATGTTTGGGTTACATGCGGGAGGGTTTAGTGTTGGAGTTACAGGGAAGGGTTTGGGTTACAGGGAGGGTGTTGGGATTACAGGGAGGGTTAGTGTTGGAGTTACAGGGAGGGTTAGTGTTGGAGTTACAGGGAGGGTTAGTGTTGGAGTTACAGGGAGGGTTTTAGTGCTAGGGTTACAGGGAGGGTTAGTGTTGGGATTACAGGGAGGGTTAGTGTTGGAGTTACAGGGAGGGTTAGTGTTGGAGTTACAGGGAGGGTTAGTGTTGGAGTTACAGGGAGGGTTAGTGTTGGAGTTACAGGGAGGGTTAGTGTTAATACACAGGGGATTTTATTACAGGGGGAGGGTTATGTTGGGGGATTACAGGGAGGGTTAGTGTTGGAGTTACAGGGAAGGTTAGTGTTGGGGTTACAGGGAGGGTTAGTGTTGGGTTACAGGGAGGGTTAGTGTTGGAGTTTACAGGGAGGGTTAGTGGGGTTACAGGGAGGGTTAGTGTTAGGTTACAGAAAAATATTAATTTTGAGATTACAGGGAAGGCTATAGGTGCCATACAGAATGATAGAAGGATGGTGATTGGAGGGAGCTCTGGGGCTGTCTGTCTGTCCTGGTTCACTTCTTGGCCATGCCCCTTAGGTTACAGGGAATATTAGTGTAGGGGGGGGGTGGGGGGGGGGTGTGGGGGGGGTGTGGGTGGGGGGGGGGGGTGTTGGTTAGAGTTTGGTGTTAGAGTTATGTTAGGGTTACAGGGGGTTAGTTTTAGGGTGTTGTTGGGTTACAGGGAGTGGGATTAGTTGTTAGGGTTACACAGAATTCGTGGGTTTACAGGGAGGATTAGGGAGGTGTTAGTTACGGGGAAGTTAGTGTTAGGGTTACAGGGGAAGTTAGTGTTCGTGGGTTGGAGGTGTTAGGGTTACAGGGAGGGTTAGTGTTAGGGTTACAGGGAGGATTAGTGTTGGGGGGGTTGTAGGTATTAGTGTTACAGGGAGGATTAGTGTTAGGGTTACAGGGGGAGTTAGTGTTGGGTTACAGGGGAAGTTAGGGTTAGTTGAGTGAGTTGGTGTTGGGTTACAGGGAGGGTTAGTGTTGGTTACAGTTAGTGTTGGGTTACAGGGAGGGTTAGTGTTAGGGGTTACAGGGGGGTTAGTGTTAGGGTTACAGGGAGGGGTGTTAGGGTTTACAGGGTGGGTAGTTGGTGTTAGAGTTACAAAGGGGGGGTTAGTGTTGGAGTTACAGGGGGGTTAGTGTTTGGAGTTACAGGGAGGGTTAGTGTTGGGGTTACAGGGAGTGGTTAGTGTTGGGGTTACAGGGAGAGTTAGTGTTGGGGTTACAGGGAGGGTTAGTGTTGGGATTACAGGGAGGGTTAGTGTTGGAGGATACAGGGAGGTTAGTGTTGGGTTAGTGTTGGGGTTACAGACAAGGGTTAGTGTTAGGGGTTATATGTTGGGTTACAGGGAGGGTTAGTGTTGGGGTTACAGGGAGGGTTAGTGTTGGAGTTACAGGGAGAGTTAGTGTTGGGGTTACAGGGAAGGTTAGTAGTGTTGGGTTACAGGGAGGGTTAGTGTTGGGGTTACAGGGAGGGTTAGTGTTGGGGTTACAGGGAAGGTTGTGTTACAGGGAGGGTGTTACAGGGAGGGTTAGTGTTGGGGTTACAGGGAGGGTTAGTGTTGGTGTTACAGGGAGGGTTCATGTTAGGGTTACAGGGAGGGTTAGTGTTGGAGTTACAGGGAGGGTTAGTGTTGGGGTTCAGGGAGGGTTAGTGTTGGAGTTACAGGGAGGGTTAGTGTTGGGGTTACAGAAGGGGATAGTGTTGGGTTACAGGGAGGGTTAGTGTTGGGGTTACAGGGAGGGTTAGTGTTGGAGTTACAGGGAGAGTTAGTGTTGGGGTTACAGGGAGGGTTAGTGTTGGTGTTACAGGGAGGGTTAGTGTTGGGGTTACAGGGAGGGTTAGTGTTGGGGTTACAGGGAGGGTTAGTGTTGAGGTTACTGGGGGAGTTAGTGTTGGGGTTACAGGGAAGGTTAGTGTTGAGGTTACAGGGGGGTTAGTGTTAGGGTCACGGGAGGGTTAGTATGTCAGGCAGGGCATTGTTCTTCCTTCCATGAGTTCTGAGTTAAAAACTAACAGCATCTATTTCTGAAAACGAATGTACTGTTTTTAGGACATCCTCTGTATCAGTCATGTTTCTAGGTTGCCTCATCCTTCCTATCAAAGACAAATCCTTCCTGCTGCAAACCTTAAAGTGTCAGTCCACCCAAAGTGAACATGTTAATATTTACCTTCACTAAGCAAATTGCAAACCATTGATTGGATTTCCATGCATGCACCCTTCTTCAGATGATGTAGTATCTTATTGGGATTGATTTGCTAAACTGGAGACTACAAAATCTGGTGCAGCTCTGCATAGAAACCAATCAGCTTCTAGGTTTTATTGTCAAAACTGAACAAGCCGAAGTTAGAAGCTGATTGGTTTCTATGACGATCTGCAGCAGATTCTGCACTCTCCAGTTTTAGTAAATCAACTCCACAGTCTATCATTAGACCTCAGTCCTTTTTTGCAGTGAAAAACAGACTGGTGATCAGTGATCAGGTTAAATGGAATGAACAATGAGCACTGGCCATTTCTGGAAGGAATTAATGTAACACTGTTCAACGATTATTGGGTTGTAATGCCTTATTGATCAGTCACATAGTATCACCACTAATGAGAACACTTTTATATTTCAGCTGGGGGATGGCGGTCAATGTTTATTCCACCTCTGTGACCAGCGAGAACCTGAGTCGTCATGACATGCTGGCATGGGTCAACGACTCTCTACAGCTCAGCTACACCAAGATAGAGCAGCTATGCTCAGGTAGGCCAGAAGCCATATTGTCTCTTACTTGATGAGGTGTAGTTACAGATAAAGATAGTATTGGAAGGTTTGTCATAGACATAAGGGCTATTTGTTACTAGAAACCTGTATGGGCTAGACGGCTTCTGATTGGTCAGCGCCATGTGGGAGTGCTGACCAAGTAGAATCCCTATAATCCGTACTGTAAGCACTGCAAGGGGAGGAGAGAAAGCCGCAGGGATTTCAAATCCCCGGACCCGTGAAGCAGCTTTTCATTGACAGCAGGGGGTTGGAAGCCTGTTACAGTGGGACCGGGGGGAATGGGTAGGGGCTCCAATGGATGGCCTGAATCACTGAAGGCTGAGGTTACAGGGAGGGTTAGTGTTGAGTTTATAGGGAGAGTTAGTGTTGAGGTTACAGGGAGAGTTAGTGTTGAGGTTACAGGGAGAGTTAGTGTTGAGGTTACAGGGAGAGTTAGTGTTGAGGTTACTGGGAGAGTTAGCATTCAGGTTACAGGAAGGGTTAGTGTTGAGGTTACAGGGAGGGTTAGTGTTGAGGTTACAGGGAGAGTTAATGTTGAGGTTACTGGGAGAGTTAGTGTTGAGGTTACTGGGAGAGTTAGTGTTGAGGTTACAGGAAGGGTTAGGATTGAGGTTCCTGTGAGGGTTAGTGTTGAGATTACAGGGAGGGTTAGTGTTGAGGTTACAGGGAGAGTTAATGTTGAGGTTACTGGGAGAGTTAGTGTTGAGGTTACTGGGAGAGTTAGTGTTGAGGTTACAGGAAGGGTTAGGATTGAGGTTCCTGTGAGGGTTAGTGTTGAGATTACAGGGAGGGTTAATGTTGAGGTTACAGAGAGAGTTAGTGTTGAGGATACAGGAAGGGTTAGGATTGAGGTTCCTGGGAGGGTTAGTGTTGAGGTTACAGGAAGGGTTAGGATTGAGGTTCCTGGGAGGGTTAGTGTTGAGGTTACAGGAAGGGTTAGGATTGAGGTTCCTGGGAGGGTTAGTGTTGATGTTACAGAGAGGGTTAGTGAATAGGTTACTGGGAGGGTTAGTATTAGGGTTACAGATAGTTTTAATGTTATAGTATTGGTTTAAATGTGAGGTTTACAGGGAGTGTTAAGGTTGAAGTTACAGGAAGAATTAGTGTGGGTATTAATGGGGGGTTTAGGGATGAGATTACAGGAAGGGTTTGCATTGAAATTACAGGGGAGTTAGTGTTGGGGTTTCAGGGCAGGTAACTGTCTCAGTTACAGGAGGGGATAGTGTTGGAATTACAGGAGGTGGGATAGTGTTGGGGTTACAGGAGGGGGATAGTGTTGGGGTTACTGGAGGGGGATAGTGTTGGGGTTATAGTTGGGGTTATAGGTAGGCTTAGTTTTAGTATTACGGAAAATAATAATTATGAGGTTACAGGGAAGGTTATAGGTTCTGTCAGGGTGATAGAAGGATGGTGATTGACGCGGAGCCCTGAAGCCATACATCTGCCTTGGTTCACATCTCGGCCATGCTGGGAGAGAGCCGCTGGATGCTGGGGGGAGAGAGGCAGGAGGAGCCCAAGCCGTAGCTGCTGGTGTCCACAGTGGGATCGGGAGCCAAAGCTGCTGGAACCCCAATGCAGGGGGGTTTCCTGCACCACTCCTTTGTGAACTCAGGCTTAATGTCACTATGACAAACCTTGGTTCTCACAGGAGCTGCGTGGGAAACTGCATGCAATTCTGGCAGGAATTGCATCTCATTTCTGTTCAAATCACATGCAATTCTTTGCAGTGCGATTTGGGCTAATTCGTTTTGTATAGGCTCAAATCACTCTGCAAAAATATCGGTACTTGGTATTGGCCAGTACTTGACTGAAAGTGTCGGTACTCATACTCACCGGTAAAAAATGGGATCGGTACATCCCCACTGGTAAAGGCAGAGCTTTACGTCCTCGTGTTAGAGATGCCCACCTGGTGATTTGTTATCTGATGACCTCCATCCTCGCTGGATTTTTATTTATTTTTAAAACAATAAATAGACATCCAGAACTCCCAGGTAGACAGGAACAGAACCAAAATTATGGCTGGGGGATCTCACTGTGGGACTATTGATGACATAGAAGACTCCAGAAACTGAAACAACCCCCTGGGCTCCACCTATACCTAAAATAACACTTTTTAGGAGGAATGAACATAATAGAAAATTAGTGGTGGGTTCCACTTTCAAATGTGGATTATATAGAGCAGCCCACAACATAAGGACCGTATTCTAATGAAGTGACAGGGGCATCTAATGAGACTGGATAGGTTTAACAGAGTAGAACAGACATGTAAGTTGTAGTAATAATCAAGTAGAAAGGACGCACGTATAATCAATGCTACTGTTTAGTGGCCTTTATGAGATCTTACTAGGGTTCTCTGTGTTTGGACCGGACTGGAAATTAGGATGGTAAAGGCAATAAAGTGGTTCTGTAGCAGCTGTCGTCTCTCTCTACAGGTGCGGCGTACTGTCAGTTCATGGACATGCTCTTCCCCGGCTGTATCTTACTGAAGAAAGTGAAATTTCAGGCCAAGCTGGAACATGAATACATTCACAACTTCAAAGTCTTACAGGCTGCCTTCAAGAAGATGGCTGTGGACAAAGTAAGTTTGCTATGTCCATTCTGTGGTGGACTATTCATTCACTTACATCCTCTTTATCACTGACAGTGGTAACAGTGTCAGTAATAGTTTAAAACTAATGTCTAAAATGCTTTCAGAAGATCTATGGTATTTAAGCATTGCCAAGTGGCAACGTACACAGCTGTGCGATCAGTGTGTTATTAGTAATGATTCCATTCAGCTGTATTCAATTTACGGTTACTGTGTCAAATAGAGAGCACAATTCCAGAATGTGGTGACCACCACTCCTGCATGTCATTATTATTATTGTTAATTATATTTCATTTTATGGTAGAATGTATTGCCAAAGGTTTGTGGATACCTGACCATCACAGCTACTATATTAATAAAGATATACTATAATACTCATGCGCTGCCACAAACTAATGATAAGCTGCTGCAAGCATCTAAATGTGCTCCCACATAAATAAAATTCCCCAAGAATAGGGCTGTACTGCCCCCTAGTGACCCAAAAAATAAACTAATAATAAATAAACACCCTTCTGAGCATCAAACCCAATGTGTAAATGAATAAATATGTAAAACAGAGTAAATAGTGAATAAGAAAACTGAGCCACTAAATCCAAATGATATGTGAAACATATATCAAAAATCAACCATATTCAAGTAGAAAAATAAACACCTGGTCAACCTATACTATACTGCTATACTGTAGCTACTCTATTGCCAAACTTATGTAGACCTCCACATCATGTTTCAGTGAAGGGTACTGTTAATGCTACAGCAAAGACATTTTGATTAGTTGTGCTCATTCAACATTCTGGCTACAGTTTGGGAAAGTTCCTGTTCTGTTCCAGCACAAAGCCAGCTCAATAAGGGCATGGTTTGATGAGTTTGGTTTGGAGAAACATTAGTGGCCTTCACAGAGCCTTGACCTCAAATCTAGTGAACATCATTTGGATGAATTGGAACGTGATTGCGAACCAGGTCTTCTCATCCAACATCAGTACCGAACCTCCCAAATGTTCTCTTGGCTGAATGGGCACAAATTTCCACAGGCACACTCCAAAATCCCATGGAAAGCCTTTCAAGATGAGTGGAAGCTGGTAAAGCCACAAGGGAGGGCAACTCTTTATTATTGTCCATGGTTTTTGGAATAGGATGTCCAACCAGCTCATAGAGGTGTGATGGTCAGATATCCACAAACTTCTGGCCATATACTGTACTAAATGGTGTTTAACTATTGGAGTGTTTTTTCGTTTTTGAACATAGTGGTGCTTTATACTGCAAATCTGGGCTTTAGCTCATGCATTGGTAAATTCTTAGTGATTGCATTATGCAATAGAGATCTCACTAAGCATGTTATGACATTATTTTACTAATGTGTCATTTACCTAGGGTGTTTTTCTGTCCAGTCTTTGGCGTTTGAAGTCACAGAGTTTGGATTATTGGTGTCAGTGGATGCATATTAAAGTTTTTTAAAAAAACATTTTTTTTTACTTTGGAGAGTGTTAATGGTTAAAGTCCATTAACACTTCCTCTCATTTAATTTTTTTTTTCATTATTAGTCTACTCATACCCCACCCTGTGTTAAAAAAGTGTTGAAGTTCTAACAAATATTAGTCAAAAAGCAAGTGCCCCCATGTCCCTCATTAGAGGAGAGACTATATAAATAAACCTATTTGTATTTTATGGATTCAAATGATATCATAGTATAAAAACATTCAATACCATCTGCAAGTGCAATGTAAGACTACATATGATTTAGGCAGACATGAAAATGAAAGACGGATGGATCGACGCGTTTCACCCAAGAAGAGCTTCCTCAGGATCTACTTTGTTTTTCAATCATTGTGATATTATAGCTGATAAACCATTTCTATACCCCATTTTCCATAGTTTTCTTTTTAGAGGGACATGGGGGTACTTCCTTTTTGAAAAAAGTTTTGAAGTTCTAACAAATATTGGGTGGGAGATCTTGGCATCTGATAAACGTTGGCACAATTCCCAACTATAATCATTAGTCAAAAAGCAAGTGCCCCCATGTCCCTCATTAGAGGAGAAACTATAAAAAAAAAAAACCTATTTGTATTTTATGGATTCAAATGATATCATAGTATAAAAACATTCAATACCATCTACAAGTGCAATGTAAGACTACATATGATTTAGGCAGACATGAAAATCAAAGACGGATGGATCGACGCGTTTCACCCAAGAAGAGCTTCCTCAGGATCTACTTTGTTTTTCAATCTTTGTGATATTGTAGTTGATAAACCATTTTTATACCCCATTTTCCATAGTCTTCTTTTTGGAGGGACATGGGGTACTTCCTTTTTGAAAAAAGTGTTGAAGTTCTAACAAATATTGGGTGGGAGATCTTGGCATCTGATAAACGTTGGCACAATTCCCAACTATAATCATTAGTCAAAAAGCAAGTGCCCCCATGTCCCTCATTAGAGGAGAGACTATAAAAAAAAACCTATTTGTATTTTATGGATTCAAATGATATCATAGTATAAAAACATTCAATACCATCTACAAGTGCAATGTAAGACTACATATGATTTAGGCAGACATGAAAATCAAAGACGGATGGATCGACGCGTTTCACCCAAGAAGAGCTTCCTCAGGATCTACTTTGTTTTTCAATCTTTGTGACATTGTAGCTAATAAACCATTTTTATACCCCCATTTCCCATAGTCTTCTTTTTGGAGGGACATAGGGGTACTTCCTTTTTGACAAAAGTTCTACTTACCCTTATGCTGTTCTCAACTTCTTCCTTGGTTCAACTCAAACAGTGCTCTCTGAGCAGAACAACAGTCACATAATTCTGCCTATTTTCTGTGAGTCCAGCTTGTGTTATTATGGAAGCTGAGCTTGAGGAATTTCAGGACTAGGAGGCACTCGCATGTCATTACGTTAGCACTGCCCAGTCCTGGAAGAATGCCCACCCTTTGCCTCCACTAGAGGAAGAAGAAAAGTTTGCTTTAAAAACCTCTGCTGTTTTTTCCTTCTGCATCCTTTTTGGAAGATTATTCTGTACTTCCCGCCTTATAGACACAATAGGAAGTAAGAAATCTCTCCAAAACGACTTGGGCAACTTTCACTGGAACATGTGTCTCCGTTGGAGGATTTCCCATATATTTCTGTTTTATTGACTACTCAAAAGTTTAGATTTTTCTCACTACTTTTAAGTAGTCACCAGGACAATTAGTGCAAGTGTATCTCCCCAGTGAGGATACAGACAGCAATTGAAATTGAAAAGTTCTTAACTTTTCTTGCTCTAGTGAAAACTGAAAAAAAAAAAGGTTTTGGCTTTAGGTACACTTTTAGTCAATTTTTAGATCATTCATGTACTGTATTACCTGGATCTTTTGCTGTGATGTGTCAGTATCGGACTCCATCCCAGTACAGACACAATCTCTGCCTCTCTGCAGATTATTCCAGTAGAAAAACTAGTGAAAGGAAAGTTCCAGGACAACTTTGAATTCGTCCAGTGGTTTAAGAAATTCTTTGATGCAAATTATGATGGGAAGGAGTACGACCCCCTATTGGCCAGACAAGGACAGGACCTAGCGCCCCCACCTAACCCAGGAGACCAGGTCTTCAACAAGCCTAAGAAACCAATCGGCACAGCAGGTATGCCTATATTTATCTGCTGCTGATGTCTTTACACCTTTATGGTTAGTTTTATTCATTTTTTAGGATTAAACTGTAGTTTTTGTTTCAGGGTTTAATTGTAACATTTTGGTTTTAAAACTTTTTAGTACCACTTACCTTGCCAGCTTTATTTTGCACAGTCCAACCTTTTTTTTAGACATGTTGCTGCCATCAATTACATAGTTACCTTTTCTTTTCTTAAAATGGTACATTTTCTCAGTTTAGTATTTTTTCTAGTTCCTTTTGTCAGTAAAATATGGGTTTATGAGATTTGCGATTCATTTCATTCTGTTTTTATGTCTGTTGTATGTTTTATACAGCATCCCAACTTTCCAACTGTTTTGAAATTGGGTTGTACGTTTTCTTTTTAGTGCTGAATGTAAGCAATACAAACCTATCTAAGCATGGTAGACGCTATACATTCCTTTTATTCTTCAAGCAGAAGGGAGCAGTAGTCTAGTTGTCCAGATATGGAAACTGATTTTGTGACATGATTGGCATTGTCAGGGGTAGAGACTGCCCAGGTACATGTGACGATCTGTTATTTGACTTGTCTCTATGATGTGTTCCTTCTCACTGCCTTCCACAGTCCCCCAGAGAACATCCCCTACAGGCCCCAAGATAATGCAGCCCCCGGCACGATTGCAAAACGTCACCCACCCTGTACGGAAAAACCCACCCATCACCCGGAATGGTGGCAATGACCTGGACTCACAGATAATGGAACTCAATCAGCAGGTAAGAGAGGTCAAAACTATAGTATCAGAGCCCGTCTGTCAGGGCTCCAGGGTATGACCAGAGGTGTGTGACTGACGCAGGGAAACGCAGACTTCAGATATGTTATAAACAATATAATTTATTAACACTAACAATACAAACATAAACGCAGTGCAATACTAAAACATAACACAGTGCAAACAAACCAAACCAACCACCCACAGATAACAGTACATACAATGGAAGCATCGTCAGGCAGGCCGGGTCAATATCAATCGGGCAGGTAGGTACAGGGGGAGCAAGCGGAGAATGGTCGGGGTCACAAGCCAGGTTCAGCAGGTAGCGGGCAGCGTGGTACAGAGGGTCAGGCAGAGGAGAATGGTCAGACAAGCCAGGGATCAGGAGCAGGAGAATGGTCAGACAAAGCCAGGGATCAGAGCAGGGTCAGCAACGTATCAGACAGGAACAGGAACAGGGAGCAGGAACAGGATACAGGGCCCAGGAGAAACACACACCAAGGCAGAGTCTGCAGGTCTGGCCATCCCTTAAATACACCAGTATAATCAGTTCCAGGTGTTTGACCGGCTGCAAGGTTGAGTCTCTGATTGCTGGGAGCACCCGCTGGCCAGCCCTGGTACTGCAGCTCATAAGGCAGGTGAGTCCCACCATTGCTGGCCAGTCCATTCCTGACACAGGTTCAATTCGTCCTGCAAAGTCAGGCAGATAAAAGAACATAGGATTAGGCCATACACACTTTTCATGCATCATACCTCTTAGTCCAGTTATTTGAACAGATTCCTGAAGTGAAAGAGTAGAGATCAGTGAGCGCTTGAAAATAGCTGCTATTGCTCACTAAGGTAACCAGATAAAAAAGGTGCAGCACTAAAATCTACAATAAATCAAATTATGTCCGATAAAAAAGGTATAAATAAATAAATCATGAAATAAGAATATATGGTATCAAATATTCATAAAAGTGACAGTTCGTGCTAAGGTTCCAATCACAACAGTTGATTACTTCAGTATTCAGTGATGTGCCAAAAGGTGTGGTTAAAAATACGCACTCACCAGATGCGTATTTAAAATACGCATTTAATATGTATGGATGAGAAAACCTGGCTTACAATCAATGTTCCAGTTCATCCAAATGATGATCAGTCAGTCAGGTTTGAGGTCACGGCTCTGTGCAGACCACTCAGCTGTAACATCCTACAGTCTTGAAGGAAGACATTCCGCATAACTATGGAGTGTGTCTATGGGCAAATAATTCCCATTCACCCATAAGGGCATTTGTGAGGTCAGGTACTAATGTTGGTTGAGACCTGGCTCACAATTGGCGTTCTAATTCATCCCTAAAGTGTTTAATAGGGTGGAGGTCAGGACTATTGTAGGCAACCTAAGTTCTTCAATACCAAACTCATCAAACCACGTCTTTATGGAGCTGGCTTTGTGTCATGGTCATCACCTTAGGCTGTTTTCCTGATATGGACTACAAACATGTTTGTAATTTTTTACAAGAACACATGTCTGGCAAGATCAACACATTTTCTGTATTTGCTGAAAATGTTCTTAGCTTGAAAAAAAGAAAACTTAGTCACCCAGCACATGTAAAGAGTGCTGGCTTCCATTTTTTTTGCATTTTTGTTTGGGTTTAGTTATCTACTAAAGCTTGTATGCTGACAGATTTAGAAGGGGTCAGACACCATCCTGGCTTCGCCTTCCATGATGGGCATACCTCCACAAAGGTCTTCTGAAACACAGACCACAGCACTGGAGCTGTAAAGCAGTCAAGCTGTATTGAAAACCGTGGCTCACTCCACGCATTACACTATGTACCAAAGGGAGCATCTACAGCAGGGTCCTGTGCATTCAGACAACATTAAAGATCAACTTCTTTAATGTAGAGAGGTCCTCATATAGTCTTCCAAGGCACAGCTGAGGATGAGGGGTCTACTGATCTAGACACAGCAAAAGGAGGTGTGCAACCAGGGAAATTGATAGAATTATCAAAACTTCCATAGGAAATAGGTAAGCATCTCTCAATAGAGAGAAGAAGTCCATCACCTAAGGACACTAGCAAGAAACTTAGGATATCTGGGAGTTGGGCAAGGTTATCTAGGGGATGTTCCTGCAGCTTTCTCTTTGTCACTTTTAGGTAGCTGCATAAAAACCCATAGTATTGACTAAAAATGCACTGTATGACTAGGAAGTCTTTGACAAATATGGTTTTAATAGAGGTAACACCTTTGACAGAGTTCCCAGGCCATTATGGCTTTTTTAAACTTCAGAGGGAGGGACTAAATATATACTGTATGTATGTGTGTATGTATGTATGTATATATATATATATATATATACATACACGGTGCCTTGAAAAAGTCTTCCTCCCCCTTGAAATGTTCCACATTTTGTCCTATTACCACCAAAAACGTAAATGTATTTTATTGGGATTATACAGTATGTGATAGACCAACACAAAGTGGCACATAATTGTGAAGTGGAAGGAAAATAATAAATGGTTTTCGAAATTTTCTAAAAATTATTCTGTGAAAAGTGTGGTGGCATTTGTATTCAGTCCCCCGGAGTCAGTACTTTATAGAACCACCTTTCACTGCAATTCCAGCTGCAAGTCTTTTTGGGGATGTCTCTCCCAGCTTTGCACATCGAGAGAGGGACATTTCTGCCTGTTCTTCTTTGCAGAATAGCTCAAGCTCTGTCAGAATGGATGGAGAGCGTTTGTGAACAGCAATTTTTAAGTCTTGCCACAGATTCTCCATTGGATTTCAGTCTGGACTGTGACTGGGCTATTCTAACACATGAAGATGCTTTGATCTAAACCATTCCATTGTAGCTCTGGCTGGATGTTTAGAGTTGTTGTCTTGCTGGAAGACCTCCGCCCCGGTGGGGCAAAAACAGTGGGGCAAAAAAGTATTTAGTCAGCCACCAATTGTGCAAGTTCTCCCACTTAAAAAGATGAGAGAGGCCTGTAATTGGCATCATAGGTAGACCTCAACTATGAGAGACAAAATGAGAAAAAAAATCCAGACAATCACATTGGCTGATTGGGAAAGAATTTATTTGCAAATTATGGTGGAAAATAAGTATTTGGTCACCTACAAACAAGGAAGATTTCTGGCTCTCACAGACCTGTACCTTCTTCTTTAAGAGGCTCCTCTGTCCTGCACTCATTACCTGTATCAATGGCACCTGTTTGAACTTGTTATCAGTATAAAAGACACCTGTCCACAACCTCAAACAGTCACACTTCAAACTCCACTATGGTGAAGACCAAAGAGCTGTCGAAGGACACCAGAAACAAAATTGTAGACCTGCCCCAGGCTGGGAAGACTGAATCTGCAATAGGCAAGCAGCTTGGTGTGAACAAATCAACTATGGGAGCAATAATTAGAAAATGGAAGACATGCAAGACCACTGATAATCGCCCTCGATCTGGGGCTCCACGCAAGATCTCACCCCGTGGGGTCAAAATAATCACAAGAGCGGTGAGCAAAAATCCCAGGACCACACGGGGGAACCTAGTGAATGACCTGCAGAGAGCTGGGACCAACGTAACAAAGGCAACCATCAATAACACACTATGCCGCCAGGGACTCAGATCCTGCAGTGCCAGACGTGTCCCCCTGCTTAAGCCAGTACATGTCCGGGCCCGTCTGAAGTTTGGTAGAGAGCATTTGGATGATCCAGAAGAGGATTGGGAGAATGTCATATGGTCAGATGAAACCAAAATAGAACTGTTTGGTAGAAACACAACTCGCCGTGTTTGGAGGAGAAAGAATGTTGAGTTGCATCCAAAGAACACCATACCTACTGTGAAGCATGGGGGTGGCAACATCATGCTTTGGGGCTGTTTCTCCACAAAGGAACCAGGTCGACTGATCCATGTACAGGACAGAATGAATGGGGCCATGTATCGTGAGATTTTGAGTGCAAACCTTCCATCAGCAAGGGCATTGAAGATGAAACGTGGCTGGGTGTTCCAACATGACAATGATCCCAAACATACCGCCCATGCAACAAAGGAGTGGCTTCGTATGAAGCATTTCAAGGTCCTGGAGTGGCCTAGCCAGTCTCCAGATCTCAACCCCATAGAAAACCTTTGGAGGGAGTTGAAAGTCCGTGTTGCCCAGCGACAGCCCCAAAACATCATTGCTCTAGAGGAGATCTGCATGGAGGAATGGGCCAACATACCAGCAACAGTGTGTGCCAACCTTGTGAAGACTTACAGGAAACGTTTGACCTCTGTCATTGCCAACAAAGGATATATAACAAAGTATTGAGATGAACTTTTGATATTGACCAAATACTTATTTTCCACCATAATTTGCAAATAAATTCTTTCCAAATCAGCCAATGTGATTGTCTGGATTTTTTTTCTCATTTTGTCTCTCATAGTTGAGGTCTACCTATGATGCCAATTACAGGCCTCTCTCATCTTTTTAAGTGGGAGAACTTGCACAATTGGTGGCTGACTAAATACTTTTTTGCCCCACTGTATATATATTAGTCCCTCCCTCTGAAGACCCTGACATTTTGATTAACATTCATCTCTTACTTTCTTTCCAGTTAATGGAGCTGAAGTTGACAGTGGATGGGCTGGAGAAAGAACGAGATTTCTACTTCAGTAAACTGCGAGACATCGAGCTAATCTGTCAGGAGCATGAAAGTGAGAGCAATGGCGTCTTGTCCAAAATCATCGACATCCTGTACGCCACAGAGGTGGGTTCTGCATCTGTATGACCAACCCTAGGAGGACACTTATTTGTAAACCCAAAATTAATGATTTTTAGTTTGCTTTCTTCCATTGGTCCTCCAAAACAACCACACTGTCTTTTTCCAGAGCAGCCTGTATTTCTCCTGAGGTTGCCTGTGGGTTTTTCTTTGTTTCCTGAACAATTCTTCTGGGAGTTGTGGCTGCAACCTCTCTTGGTCTACCTGACCTTGGCTTGGTATCAAGAGTTCCCCGAATTTCCCACTTCTTAATAAGTGATTTAACAGTACTGACTGGCATATTCAAGGCTTTGGATATATTTTTATATCCTTTTCCATCTTTATAAAGTTCCATCAAATTTTTATGCAGGTCTTTTGACAGTTCTTTTCTGCTCCCCATAGCTTAGTATCTAGCTTATTCAGTACAACTTAGATACAAACTCATTGACTATTTGTACACAGACACTAATTGGAACATAAAGAGCCACAGATGTGGGAAATTAACTTTTAATTGCCATTTTAACCCGTGTGTGTCACGTTGTGTGTCTGTACTAAGGCCAAACATTCCAGGAGATGGAAACTTCCGCCTGGCAGTACTTGGGTCGTTGATTCGTATCCCAACCATGGTACTACCTGCCTGGTGTTTGCATGTTCTCCCTGTGCCTGCGTGGGTTTACTCCGGGTACTCCAGTTTCCATCCACACGCCAAAGACATACTGGTAGGTGAATTGGCTCCTGTCTAAATTGGCCCTAGTATGTGTATGTATGAATGTGAGTTGGGGATCTTAGATTGTACGCTTGAGGGTTAGGGACTGATGTGAAGGTACAATATATACAGTTGTGTTCAAAATAATAGCAGTGTGTTGAAAAAAGTGAATAAAGCTGAAAATCCTTCTAATAGCTTTTTTTTCCATCCACACAAATGCATTGGGAACACGACACATTCTATTCCAAATCAAAACATGAAGAAAAATACATCAAATTTGTGTTGTTCCTCTAAAACAATTGAAGAAAAGTGAATATTAGACTGTTCAAAAAAATATCAGTGTTTGTATTTTTCTCTACAAACTCAAACATTCACTATATAAACTGAGAAATGTTTGAAGATTTTGCTTTCCTTTGAATGACTTCATGAATATTTGGTTGTAGTCGCACTGTTTCTGAGAACTGCTGTACATCTGTGTTGCATGGAGTCACCCAACTTCTGGCCCCTGTGAACAGGTATTCCAGCCCAGGATGATTGGACTACATTCCACAGTTCTTCTCTATTTCTTGGTTTTGCCTCAGAAACGGCATTTTTGATGTCACCCTACAAGTTTTCTATTGTATGAAGATCCGGGGATTGGGCTGGCCACTCCATAACATCAATCTTGTTGGTTTGGAACCAAGATGTTGCACGTTTACTGGTGTGTTTGGGGTCGTTGTCTTGCTGGAACACTCATTTCAAGGGCATTTCCTCTTCAGCATAAGGCAGCATGACCTCTTCAAGTATTCTGATGTATTCAAACTGATCCATGATCCCTGGTATGCGATAAATAGGTCCAACACCATAGTATGAGAAACATCCCCATATCATGATGCTTGCACCACCATGCTTCACGGTCTTCACAGTGTACTGTGGCTTGAATTCAGTGTTTGGGGGTCGTCTGACAAACTGTCTCCGCCCACTAGACCCAAAAAGAACAATCTTACTTTCATCAGTCCACAAAATGTTGCGCCATTTCTCTTTAGGCCAGTCAATGTGCTCTTTGGCAAATTGTAACCTCTTCAGCACGTCTTTTCTCCAACAGTGGGACTTTGCGGGGGCTTCTTGCAGATAGCTTGGCTTCACATAGGCATCTTCTAATTGTAACAGTCCTCACAGGGAACGTCACACCTTCTTTCATCTTCCTGGAGCTGATTGTTGGCTGAGTCCGCGCCATTTTGGCTATTCTTCTATCCATTCCAATGGTAGTTTTTTCGCTTTCTTCCACGTCTTTCAGGTTTTGTTTGCCATTTTAAAGCATTTGCGATCATTTTAGCTGAGCAGCCTATCATTTTCTGCACTTCTTTATATGTTTTCTCCTCTCCAATCAACTTTTTAATCAAGGTACGCTGTTCTTCTGAACAATGTCTGGAACGACCCATTTTCCTCAGAATTTCAGAGAGAAATGCACTGTAACCAGCATGTACAACATTTGCTGCCTTCCTTCCTTAAATAAGGGCAATAATTGCCACCTGTTTTTCAAAGAATGAATGACCTCACTAATAGAACTCCACACTGCTATTATTTTGAACACGCCCCTTTCAATGAGTGATTCAATGACACAGAATCAGCAGCATGCATGTCATGACTGTTGGGTCTGTTGGATTTCTATTACTCTACTACACCTGTTAGTAAATTATTTGCCATGTAGAAATATCATTTCTACCAAAAACAGTGATTGATCCGGTTAATGATGTCTGACTGATATTATTTTGAACACAAGTGTATGTAAAACGCTGCATAAATTGATGGCGCTATATAAGTACATAAAATAAATAAATAAATCAGGGCCATTTGGGTGATCTCTGTTATCATTATGATTTAAAAAGGGGCCAAACAACTATGTGATAATAAATGGCTTCATATGTTCTCTATCCCTAAATAAAATACAGTTTTTTTGGCATGATCAGTCATATTTTCAATATCAATGCCAAAATATCACGATTTCTGTCAGGGAGTGCAAACTTTTGAGCACAACTGTATGTATTTTCATAGTCTGGATGTCCATTTAAGCTGTGTTGTATGTTTCTCCATAGGAAGGATTCGCTCCCCCAGATGACGATGAAAATGATGAGCTTCAGCCAGAGGATCAGGATGAATACTAACCATACTTCTTTCCACCTCTTCCTCTTGGTCGCCGTGGCCCTGCTGCATCATCCGGGGAGGCTCCTTGTTGCCCAACACTCATCAGCCATTATGCAGTATGAACATATTAGGTTGGGATTAGCACATCCGCTCCTGCACTGTCATCTATCATCGCAATCTACTGGGCATGCCCCTCTTCTCCCCCCTTTGGGCCACATATTCGCTAAGCGTGAACTTTGCAGTGGCGAATGTGGAAGTGACGTCTCCTAGGGCATGGATTTTTTTGCTTTTGCTGAACATGGCACTTCATTTATTTATCGGGAGATCATTACCGGCCCCTCTTCGGCGGTATTTATAGCTGATATCATTTGTCTTTGTTGCCCTGTTAACCCCTTTTTAACTTGAGCTCTGGTTGGATGACCCACATGGGAGTTTGCTTGTTGTGTTTTTATACCTTTAGACCTGTCTTCCTGTTTTATGGTCATTTCATCTCCCTGCCCTTTATTCCTAATTCTTTTCTGTTTTCCTGAAATAGTGTATTTGGAATGGACAGCCCAGTGGTGGGCATTCATGTATTGATTATAAAGCCTTAAATTAATTATAGAGCCTTAAAGTGAACCTGTCACTGACTTCAGCAATTCAAATCAAACATATGATAAAAAAATGCATAAGCAACAATTACCTTAGGTGAAAGTGGCAAAACAATCAGAAGATCCAGATATACCAGTAGCCAATGTTATGTGGAAATTTTCACATTTCTTGTAAAATGTAAGTTTGGTGCTGCCCTTTCCACCTCACTTGCCTCTCTAATAGAGACTTAGTAAGTCTGTTACATTAAAGGTCCAATAGGGAGGCTTGGGAGGTAGAAAGGGGCAGGGATAATTTTTACATTTACAGGAATGGTCAGTGCTTACCTATTATTTCAATCAACCCTCTCTCTGTTAAAGCAGAAATCCAGGAATTTTTTTTTTGCCTGTGCAATGGGGTTGTGTGGCTCAAATGCTCATTTTGTTTTAGGGGAGAGGACACCAAAGATATGCTCACCTGACCCGCCGATCCTCCCTGCAGAAGACCTGTCCTTTAGGCTCCTGCCCCCTGCACTCTTTTAAATGGGCTGTTCTTGATGTCCGCATGCTCAATACACGCTCTACAGACAGGGACAGTCCACCGCTGGATCGTGGGGGAGTTTGGTTTTCCGTAGGATTGTTAGTCAGGTGAGTATGAGCTTAATCCTCACCCCTAGAAAAAATGAGCAGCTGATCCTTGCAGTGGGGTACACAGCCCCACTGCATGGTAAAAAAATGTTTTTTAACTGGAGTTCTGCTTTAAAGAATTGAGAGACCCAGCCTGTAATAGGCTACATGTGCCCCTGTTGTTGGAAACATACAGGTTTATAGCATTACCCCTGCTGTTTCCTATGGTTTCTCCCACCAGCTCTTGCACCACTACCTTGACCTGTTGTGACTAAGCAGCCGGTGGAAGAAACCACAGCTCACAGCAAGGGATGCACTACCTGACATCACTATAAGTGTGGGATAGCAATGGCACTCATGGCTCTCTTCAAGTTAGTAATGATTTGGCGCACCACATGCTGGCTCTTTCAGCTCCTTATGTGTCTGGATCTACTTCTTGTTAGTTGCATGTGGTTTCATTGAAGGCAAGCTGTGCATTTTTTCCCATGTACTCAATTTGGTTCAGTTTAAAAGGCAAACCCACCCAATATTAATTATTGTGCTTTGTGCAGACTGTTTGATTCCATTGCCTGCAGACCTATTAAAAATCTTCTGGAGTCGGATTGAGCAGACCTTCTGGTTCCACTGCAGTTGTGGCTTCACTTGGCATCATGCTGAGCATTTGTGTCTTCTATCTTAGCTCCTCGACGACTCTGGACTGCTCACAGATTTAGAAACCCAAAGGTGGTCTATGGGAGTGGGGTCAGGAATCAAACAATATCCAGCTGATGTCTTTGAAGTTCTTTAACAAGTCATCAGGTTATGAAACCATCCCTAAGTCCATTCAAAACTGAATGATATTCTGGAGGAACTTCTTTGATTCTGAAAATATTTCTAGAAGACAATTTTGTTATGCATAAAAAGCCATTAAACACTTAAATACCTTTTGCTTAATTACCTGACTTTTATGTAGTGAATTGAACTGAAACACACTCCACATAGAAAACCTGGTGCCATAGCTATTTGTTCAGTTCTGTACGTATCTATGGTGGAGGACCTTCCAGTGGTGAGTCTTTACCAGCTCTTTTGGTCATTATAAGGGTCTATATCTCACGCATCCCTCTACTCACCCACCTAAGGAGCAAAGTTTCTGATGAATTGGTTTCTGTAAATACTCCATTTATTTTTGAATCCCTTGCCAACCTCTACAAATGTCCAGCCATAAGCTCAGCAACCAAAAGGCCAACTTGTGGAATCCATTGTAAATATGCTATTTCTATTCTCTCATGTCCTCCTTATCCATCTTCTTGCCTTCATCTTTTCTGGAGTGTCTTGTGCTGTCTTCCTTGTCCCCAGGTTACATGTCTATTGTCTTTTATTCAGTTGCTGCTACCGAGTCGGTAGTGGCCATGGCGGTGGGGTGGTCTCCTTTGGGAGTTCAAATATGTATATTTTTGAATAGAATTTTTCATGCACTTTTTTCCCCAAACTCTTTTTCTCGACACAAAAGAAGTCTTCTGTGAAAAGAATGTGAATTGAATAGACGTCTAATAATGGGATCTGCACGCCGACTTCTCACTGCCGGAGAGCACGACAACAGATGAATTAGAACTGTGTTTCACATATTTGAATGGGAAAGTAAAATATTAGGATTTTCTGGTGAATTATGGTGTATAGCTGAACATAATAGGGAAAAAAAAACATATTCAGTACATCTCTGCAATATGCGCATTTCCCCTTGTTTTGTCTTTTTAAATTAGAGATTGCCTGTTGATGTGACAGAAATCCAACGGGCTCCTAATGTCCTGTATGGGCTGACAACATAGTGCCAATGTTGCAATAAAATCTCAAGCAGTGTTTCCATGGCTGCCCAGTTCACCCTTGTGGACTACAGAACATCGGGGAGTTGATTTACTAAAGCTGGAGAGTGCAAAATCTGGTACAGCTCTGCATAGAAACCAATCAGCTTTCAGGTTTTATTGCCAACGCTTAATTGAACAAGCTGAAATTAGAAGCTGATTGGCTGCCATCCAGGGGAGATTAAAATCAATTACATAAAATAAAAAATAAAAAAAAATCTGATTTTTTATTTAAATTGCTTTTTTTTTTTCAAATTTATTTTAATAAAATGCTTTTAGAGTAAAAATCTATCTAAAGATAGTTTTCTATTTATGATACATTAATAATGTAGTTTATTCAGCATGAAATGGAGCTTAGTTATGTAGCATGAGGCTGTATATTGTGCAGTATTTACATTTTTTGGAAAACTCATTCAATGAATCCAAGCTCTGCAAGCTGAGATAACATGCACGGCATTGATGCATTCATACAATTTCACAGTAACCACAAGAAAAAAAAAACATGAATTAAAAGAATTGGAGTAGTCCTCCAGCTATGCTTGGTTAACCCATTGACCTAAAATCGGTTCTGATATCGCATATTTAACTAACCTGACAGCTTATTCTAAAAAGGAAACCTTCATTTGGTTTGCAAATACTAAAGATTCTAACTTATAGCAAGAATGAGTCGTATTCCTTACATTTAAAGAGCACCTGTCATTTTAGATCCACCATGGCAGCGCCTGTTAGCGGGCATCCACTCACCTGCTGCCGCCATGTCCCTCACCTTGTTGTGTCCCTGCCGCATCACCAGCCGTCCCATTAAAGTGAATGGAACTATCGGTGGGTCAGAAGAGGAGCCGCTGCGGGACGGAGATGACAGATGCTCTTTTAAAAAATTATGATTTAAATCGAACCTTTTCACTTGTGATTTAAATCAACTTGATTTGCATCAATTCCACCCAGCTGACATCCATAGCTGCACCTGATTCTGAGTGCACCAGTTTTAGTAAATCTTCCCCCTGCTGTCTACTTATGTTATGGAGATTAGGAAAGAGGGGGGGTTTCTGTAGTCTAGAAGGGGAAAACGCAGGCAGGGCTGACAACGCTGCTTGGGCGACAGCGCTGTCAGCTCATTAATGGAAGTTAGGAGCTCACTGGATTTCTGGAAGACCTGGGGAAATGTGCATGAATTGCAGAGCTGTACTGAATGTGAAGTTGAAAGATCCCAGACTCCAAAAGCTGCATACTAGTCCCAGGGCAGTGTTCAGCTTCACTGCAAGTTCATCTATAAGGCTAGGTTCACATCTGTGCGGGTGGTGCCGCTGCGGATCCGCACGAAAATCCACCCGCACAGAGGAATGCGGACCTAGTTCTAATGGCACGCCACCAGCACTGGAAAACACAACCGTACTGGGAAACGAGGTTCCCCTGCAGGCTGCGTTTTTGAAGGGGCTTTTTTCCCTACGGGGCACGGGAGTCCATTCAAATGAATGGGCTCTTGTGCCTGTACAAAACACGACCCGCATGGCCGCATATATGTGAACCAGGGCTTAATGACGTCACAGCCTTGGAAATAGTATGGAAAGCGGGAGCTGAGGTTTCTGATTTCCGTCATGACAGGTTCCCTTTTAGGGAAGTCTGGTGATCTTAGAGCATCTCATAGAGACAAATCTATAGTAAATTTGTGACATTTGGTAAGACCGGCAGAGGACCAGTTTATTCGCTGGCTATGCTGCCCGAGGTGACCGCTTTAGCAAGGGTAAATATTCCAAAAGGATCGATCTATAATGTGAACGAATAATCCTAAAACATTTGTTTTGCTAAGAAACCAGACTAGTTGAAAACTGTTTCGCTCAGATGGCAGGTGGACACTGTAACCCAGACTATGTTATAGCGGCTGATGTGCCACCTCGGAGAGAATTTGTTTTTTTTTTTTTTTGTTCAACGATCCCACTTTTTTTCTTTTTTTTTTTTCCCCAGACGTCCATATCTGTAATGAGATTTCTA